TTCATCTCTAATCTTGTCCTTTCTATCCATCCTTCATTTTTTTCCCCTTTCCTATCTCCTCCTCTTCTCTCATTTTCTCTTCCCCCTCTTTCCATTCCCCTGACCCTACCTCCACCATTTCCCCCTTCTCCTCTTTCCATCTTTCTTCCCTCTCCTTCAACTCTTCCTCTCCTTTTTTTCTTATCAACTCCTTTTGCCCCTCTGCTACCTCCCTTATTTCCTTCCTCACACACAGTCCCTTTAACTCTTCTCTCATTTCCTCTCTCATCTCCTTAAGTATTTCCTTCATCCTCCCCCCCCTTCTCTCCCTTTTAACTGGCGATCTTACCATTTTTTCACTTCTGAATATATCACTTATTTTGATCTCTCCCTCCTCTTCCCCTCCCTCTCCCTCCCTCTTCCTTTTCAGGTATTTCTCCAAATCTCCTGTGCTTCCTCGTCTATCCTTTACTAGCCTTTCAATTCTTCCCGTCATTTCCTCTCTCTTACTCCTATTTCCTCTATCTTTCCCGAACTGACTCGATCTATCGATATCTCTATCTCGACCGACCCGCTAGTTCTTCTTACCCGAACTCACTTGCCCTCATCACCTACTCCCTAACTCCTTTCCGTCTATCTCCCCGCGCACCACCTATCTAACTATCAATGCCTAACTATCAATGATTCCCCTAACCTCAATCCCTTTTCTCTCACTCTCTTTCCTGTCCACCTCCCTATCTTTCATTTCTCCCTCTACTCTCCCACCCTTCTCGCCACACCCTCTTTCACCTCCACTCACTTTATACTCTCTCACACCTCACTCTCTCCCTACTTCCACACCTTGCTCTGACTTTTCTCGAAGTAGTTGTAATTAAATGTTAAAGCGTACCTCAGAAACGTTTCGAAATACTTGAAAGTAAAAGTGCGTTATAATAAATGCTGGCTATTGAGTATTGGTAATATTAGCATCATGATATAATGACAAGCTACTGAACTAATAATTCCATAAGTAATCATTAAGATTCGCTATATACAATAATAGCGGAGATATTAAGAGAGGTCACAATGTATACACTGGCCATAATTCTACCTTCTCCTCTACTTTTAATTTCGTTCATAATCACGATCTTCATTTACCTATAAAGGTCACATTTCTAATAGTGTAGGTTCTATTTGATAAGCACGTATATGCTTAGCGCCTCTTTTACCTTTTTTTAAAAGGTAATCTTTTACTGATACGAAGGATAAAATTTTGTAACTACTACTTTGGTTGGAAAGGAAAATGTCTTTGAATGAATTGCAATATAAAAATTTTATATAAAAAGAATTAAAATCATTTGGATTGGAACAGGAAGATCCTTCAATAGGAATACAAAGACCAATCAAATCGTTTCAACTAGAATAACGTGTAATAGCTGATACAATTTGATACGATTTGATTGGTTGACACAAATTACAAGTTAGAGATCCTAATACTTGAGTCCCATGAGGCGTATTTGCCGCGAACCGCATAATCGCGTAACCAATCAGAAGCGATTCGCTGCACTGGTTTCGTATCTTACTGAACATCTAGACATCCACTTCCTCGACTGCAAACACCTAGACATTTAGTTTCTCGATGGCGAACAAATAAGCACCCATTTCCTCGAGGACGAACATCTAGACACCGACTTCCTCGACTGCGAACACCTAGACATCCACTTCCGCGACGGCGAACACTTAGACACTCATTTCCTCGACGGCGAATACCTAGACACCCACTTCCTCAACGGCGAACATCTAGACAACACCTAAACACTTAATTCATCGACGGCGAACACCTAAACACCCACTTCCTCGGCGGCAAACACCTAGATATTTAGTTTCTTGATGGCGAACACCTAGACATTTAGTTTCTCGATGGTGTACACTTAGATATTTAGTTTCTCGATAGCGAACACCTATTATCATTTCCTAGTTTAGTTAGCCATTACCAGCGTGTTTCATTATTACTGACTTTACCGATTCTGTTGTTTCGAAAAAACAACCGAGACACTATCGTAGTCCGTAGTATAGTACAGATCACAGCGCTCGCTGATCATATATGTCACTAGGGCTCTTTGCGTAAAAAATGTCAGAAGGACACGAAAAGGATGCGCGGAATGCGGTCGACGATGATAATGACGTATCTGAACGTGAAAAGTTACAGATCCAAACTTTCCGTCGCAAAATCTCCATTATAGGGTGCGTAGATAAAAATAAAAACACACATAATACAATCGGAGTATAAGTTATCGATTAAGTGTACTTAAAGACTCGATCGGGATGGCCGTTATTGAGATCCGATAACCTCGATCTGACGCAATTCGCCGGTTCGCATAAAGGAGGCACAGCAGTGTTTCGTGCCATGCTTAGCGCTGAGACACTATCGTGTCTCCAGATTTTTAGTGTAAAAATGAAAATAAGAGGAACAACCTCTAATGGCCTTGATCTTAACAAATGGTATCTAGGTTGTGATCTTAAATAACATTCAAGAGGTTATAGCCGTCGGTTAGACATTTTGGATAATGCAAATGCCGGTAGTACTGTAAGTTTCGAACCTCATATCTTGAAATGTATTTAACGAAAAAATATCATAGCATTTTGGAAAGCTCTTGAAATAAGCTACAAAAATACGCAATAAAAAATGGCGAGTTCCGTTTAAAAAATTTTATGTAATATGGACCTGACCTTAAGAACATCTTCTCAAGGTCAACCAAGGTCACCGTCTTTTTCCTCCTTGAAACCATGAATCTTTCATCTGAAACATTTTTCCGTATCATTAACAATTTTCGAGATATTTCAGTGTTAAAATGGGACACCCTGTATATACAAGGTGGGGCAACTAAAACAGGTCACTTGAATAACTCGCTTGTTTTTAACAATAGAAGTAAAAGTGCCAAATAAAAGTTGCATGGTTTCAAGGGGCACGTATTTTGGTCATGTTGTCTTTCTTCTAGGTAGAGGCGTTATATATAAAAAGATGAAAGCTATTTTTTTAAACGGAATTGTGTAACTACTTGACTTTTACACGCGCGGATTAGCTCGTCGGATTTCGGTGATCGGTCTGGATACGTGAAAAGAGGTTCGTGGCGGAGAGAGTAGATGTAATAACGGAACGAAACAGTTTGTATAAAAAAAATATAAATGTGGGTGCAATAGCTTTATTGGTATCGAAATCAGAGAATACAATGTAAATGGAAACGCGGTCGCTGGCGATATACGTAACCATCGATTTTGACAATCTGCAACTATAATAATAATTTTATTTTTTATATATTTGTGTGCGTGTGTGTGTGTGTGTGTGTGTGTGTGTGTGTGTGTGTGTGTGTGTGTGCGTGTGTGTGTGTGCGTGTGCGTGTGTGTGTGTGTGCGTGCGCGCGCGCGCGCGTGTGTGTGCGCGCGTGTGTGTGCATACGCGATAATAGGTCGAGTATTTGTATGTGTGTGTAAGAGCAGCGAAACTCGTCGCAGACGAATTTTTGTGCTGTCGCGGTGTCGCGTGGCGGGCCGCGGGACCGCGGCGGTTCGGTTCGCGGCGATAAGCGTGGTCGCGAGACGCGAGTATACGCCAACTCTATCACGATCGCGGCGCGGCGAATATGAGAATTCTCCCAAATATAATGGAATCGGTCAGCTTTAGAAGGCGGTGCCGACGGTCGAGAATGCTCGACAGAGGCAGAGAAATCTCTATCCCTTTGCTACTGTCGGGATCGATACAGAGTCCCTCCTGAGGGAACCAGCGGTCGAGAACGCTCGATGGGGATAATACCCTCTGGCGTCTGGTGCGGTAGGAACAGCAAGGCGACACTGACCGACGGCCGAGAAAGCTCGGCGGGGCAGAGTACGCTCTGTCCCCGGAGGATTCCCGTCGGTGCAGCGGTGCAGGAATATGCGGCTAGTCGGCGATCGAGTCGTTAGCTATCGAGAACTCTCGATCGTGACAGAGTATACTCTACCACTTGGTTTCGCTATCCAATCGGCGTGGAAGAGGATCGGAGCAGGATCGGAGCGGAAAAAGAAGAGCCGCGCGTTAAAACACGCGGCTTTTATATTGCATTGTTGCTCCTGCCCGATTGTTCTGTAATCGTTCGGTGATTCTCGCTGGTTCACAATACGAGCGAGAGACGCGCATTTCGGCGCGGTTCGCGCGTGTTCGGCTCTTCTCGACGGAACGGCTGTCACCCGTGAATTATGTTTGAAATTGCTTATCGGGCAATTTGCCCTCATCGCTTGCAGTGGCCGTAGGCCAATAATTTATTTATTAGAGATATTTTATATTTTATTGTGGCGCATATTGACATAAAATATTAAATAACTCGTAAGCTATTAATTTTTTGGTAACCATACCTTAATACTTTTATGAACAGAATGTTCAGTGGCCTACGACCACTGCAAGCGATGAGGGCAAATTGCCCGATAAGCAATTTCAAACATAATTCACAGGTGACAGCCGTTCCGCCGAGGAGAGCCGAACATGCACGAACCGCGCCGAAATGCGCGTCTCACAATTATTAAAAAGCTAATAGCTTACGAGTTATTTAACATTTTGTGTCAATATGTATCAGAATAAAATGTAAAATATCTCGAAAACTATTGGTTTTTTGATGTCACTACCTTAACACTTTTATATGCAGAATAATTAAAGGAATCATATTACGTAAAAAAAATCATACAATTCCATGTAAAAAAATGGAAATGACCTTTATATCTCTTTAGCACCTCCACTTACAAGAAAAACAATATGACCAAAATACATCCCCATTGAAACCATGCAACTTTTGTTTGACACTTTTCTTTCTATTGTTAAAAACAAGCAAGTTATTCAAGTGGCCTGTTTTAGATGCCTCACCCTGTATATGTGTTCGGTTTAATCCATTCTATCTGCATATGAACGTTGTGTCAATAATTATCAGACACCCTATATATGTCCGTAACTGTGCATAAAATGAAATAAAATAAATTTTATAATAACATATAAAACCAGAAATCACTTATTTTACCTTAGCGATTTGATTAAAACCACTCGCAGGTTCAGTATGCCCAAGATTGGATTTTACAGAGCCGATAATTAATGGAGTTTCTCTATTTTTACACAGAACATTATAGATAGCATTAATTTCTGGAGGATCGCCAGCTATGGTAGCGGTACCATGTGCTTCGACATAATCCAAACAAGATACTGGTATTTTGCATTCTTCGTAAAATTCCTTTAGTAAGGTATATTGCATTTGTGATGAAGGATATGTTATGCCTTCTGATTTGTAACCATCACTATTCAATTTAATATATGGATATATGGCATAAATCCTCTTAGCATTTTTTGCTTTTTGAAGGTATACCACTGCGATCGTTTCGCTACGTGCATAACCGTTAGCAGCGCTATCAAATGGTCTACAATAACCGTCGGGTGACAAGACACCTGGAAGATACAAAATACAGCATGCATTTTTAATATACAATGAATTAATTTATATTTATTTAAAAACTTATCAATTTTATCAATGATAAAGTATATTCCATTTCGATAAATATTTATCAGAAACGTTTTGTCAAAATTACATAGCTCGTAATAGTTTCCTATTTATTGTGGATAAAAACTAAATTTCATGCATAGTGTATAATTAGACTAATAAGTTTTAATAAAAATATAAAGTTAATATTTTATAACATACCAAGCCGAGCGAATTGCAGGTTTATAAGAGGATGAAAACATAAATTTGCAGTTCCAATTATCGCATCTTCGCATTTTCCTGACATAATATAATAGTAACCACGGGCTATGGCGTAAAGACTAGAACTGCATGCTGTATCGATAGTATAAGATGGTCCTTTTAGATCAAAGTAGTGTGAAATAATATTTGCCATCGTAGATTTATTCAATCCGAGAACATTCTGTCCGCTTAACTAATTGCAGAAAATTTATTATTGCAATTCTTTCATATGAACAATTAAAATAGCAATGTCTTTCTACTATTTTTATGAATGACATATATATGTCTATATATATATTATAATAGATATATGTATATATATATATTGTTACTTGCATTAATATACGGACATCATGATACATTAGGAATTATTACCTCTTAAACATAATTTTTGTTGGAGTAAGAAATTCCCAGCTTTTTTTTTAATTGAAATATTCATTATAGTTGTTAGAAACATAAATTTTATTTATATAATTACGTTTATATGATACAGTTTCGAGTATATTAAACTATAGACAGAATTTTGCTTAATTCTGGTATCGCAAAAATATTCGGGCACATAACAAGATATAATAACATAAATATGTAATAACATAAATATGTGTTAACGAAATGATAATAATTTTAGTACTTTAATTGTTGGATAAACTTTTTGTTTATAGCTGCAAACGTTTAGGCATATTTAGAAATAATTTTTGTTAAATAATCTGATGTAATGTATGTACGCCTCCACTCCTGTTTTAATCATAATTTTATTTCTCCTTTTGATCTTATAGGTGTAATTCGTAATGTTACGATTTAATAAATTCTATAAATTTTCTATGGGATTTAAATCTGGTGACTGTGATGGAGGATATAATACTTTTGGACAGTTACATAATAAATATTCTTGCACTATTCGCGATTTACGTTTTGAATCATTGTCTTGATAAAATTTGAAACTATCTCGTATATTTATATTTCATTAGCACTTTTTATTTAATTGTCTTTTAGAATACTTAAATATTTATTTTTATCCAAAATTCCGTTAATGAAAACTAATTCACCCACTCCTCTACTTGAAATACAACCCCAAATCATTAAACTTCCACCACCGTGTGTCATAGTTGGCTTCGAATTTTTTAGTTTGAATTCTCTGCTTGCTTTTCGCCATATCATTTTCCGCACGTCAGATTAAAAAATGTTAAAGAACGATGGCAGTTTGGGTCAAATTTGCTTATAATGAAAACGTATGAAATCGGTCAATCTTTATTTTCAAATTAAATCTCAATAAACGACTTTTATATTTTGTGCACTAAGAATAATAACATACATATCGACTTATTTTCTAGAATCAAATTGTAATCTGTTTTACTTATATGTATGTTTGTTTTGAATTTGCACTTTGAATAACATACGAGTTACTTTTCATAATATATTATTAAATTTAGATAATATACACTTTATGTATGTTCACTTTGAACTGGCACGTTTATTAATAATATATCAGTTACTTTTCATGGTAATATATTATTTTAAATAATCATTTGAATTTTTAAAGGTTTAAATTTTTGAGGATCTTTTTTTGAACATGGCCTGAACTTTTCATTTTTATGATTTTTTTGGGATATTATATATCGTTATGTCGCACTCATTAAGTATATCTGTCCTTATCCAACATATGCCAACACTATCTATCGCAAGACCGTGCAATTATTATTACACGGAATTTCGGCTCTGTTGACGTCGGAATTCTGTTCTGACAAGGAGAGGCTACGCTCTGCTCTTCACCGATTTTCAAACTTGCAGCAATGTTAGAGAAGCCTACCAAATGAACACCTGTAAAACCGTTCCCGTTAATGGGCTGTAGAAGCTGAGTAATGAGTATTTAAAAATATACCAAAAATATGGAAACAGTCTAATATCTCAGAAAATATGCATTTTTGAGAAAAATGTCTTAGACAAAAGTGTTAGGGTTTAATAAGATGTATTTACTGATTTTATTAGTTTGACCTTGGGTGGCATCATCAATCTTGGCTTCACCTTGCCATCCAAAGTCAAACCAATAAAACTAGTAAATACATCTTATTAAACCCTATCACTTTTGTCTAAGACATTTTTCTCAAAAATGCATATTTTCTGAGATATTAGACTGTTTCCATATTTTTGGTATATTTTTGAATGCTCATTACTCGGCTTCTACAGCCCATTAGCGGGAACGGTTTTACAGGTGTTCATTTGGTAGGCTCCTCTAACATTGCTGCAAGTTTGAAAATCGTTGAAGAGCAGAGCGTAGCCTCTTCGTGCAATGCATGTAATTACGTTCGAGGAGAAATATTCTCTTCTACGCTTTGAATCTTAATTCTACAAACTCAGTAGTGTTTGTTCAAGAAAGCTGAATCTTCCGCTTCACACTTATTTTCAATCTACGCCGTAAAACTTTCATATCAAGCAAATGTTAACCTCAGATAATAGTTTTACGTATCAGAAAAAATGAATTTTGTAATTTTTTTCCAATTTTCTCGTGAAATCGTGTTTTCCGGGATTTTTTTTTATGCGTTCTTTAAGTCTGTGCAAAAAAATTTTGCAATCCGTGAAACCAGTTCGGAGATTTCTCTTAAAACGTAATTGTGGTAAAATGGGACCCCCTTTAGTATTCACTTAACACGTGTCTAACAAGATCCAGCTTCGACCGTTATGTACCTTTAATTTGTTGTGTATTCACATGTGCAGTTTTAATAAATCATTTATTATTATTTTTTCACATTAAGATCCAGTGTAATATCACAGAAATATTCCTGATATATTACATGTTGATAAATAACATTGAAATATCACAATAATATTTTTGTGATATGTCACAATAGTATTGCTGCAATTTATGAGTAATATTGTGGCAATAAAACGTATTAAGGAGCAGAGAGTGACATATTATATATTATAATGATTATTAACGTTTCTACGATGTCTACTTGACGTTAAAGACGTTATTAAGATGTTAATTATTAAGATATCACAAAATTATACATATACATACATAGGGTAAAGACAGCTATAAAATGTTAAAACTAACTCCGATATGAAATGCATATTAAGACTTTTAATTGATACATTTATCATATATATATGATTATACATTACTACCAGTTGATTATCAGTACTGAAAATTTATAGTTACTGTTACGTATACTACAGATTTTCAGTACTGGCAGTAGTCAACTGATAGTGATATACGAATATGGCCTGAATATAGCTATAGCTATCTTGAGAAGCAGAAAAAGAAACCATTTTATAATTTAGTTCTATGTAGGTAAATGTGTTTTAGGTAAATTTATAATGAAATTATAGTAAATAAATATTATATTGCTCCAATTGAAGATAATTAATTAAGTAATTGAAATTTAATACTTTTATAACAGTAGTAACACAAGAATTAAATAACGTCTGCCTAGCTGGACCCCCCCAACCAAATCTTAATGAAAAAATTATATAATAATGCGCTATTTATGCGCTATTCATATCCGAAAACAAAAATTTTTGTGCTCCTTCTGTTTAGCTAAAAAAAAATTTTTGGGGAGGGGACTAAGTAGGCAGTCAGTCAGTCCCCCCCCCCATTAAAAATAATTGATTTGAAAAATTAAATACACAGGATTTATGCGCTATTTATGCGCTACTATTTCCAAGCAGTTTCGATTTTTACGCTGCAACCCTTAAGGCACTTCCCTCTTGGAACAAACAGACATATTCACCCTTAAGTCATTTAAAATTGCAAAATTGAATACTCTGATTATGCATAATAATTCTCTGATTTATGCACTACTATTTCCAAGCATTTTCGATTTTTGCGCTGCAACCCTTAAGGCACTTCCCTCTTGGAGCAAATAGATATATTTATCCCTATGTTGTTTAAAATTGCAAAATTAATTCTTTAATTGTACATGAAATGTATCTGAATTATTATCGCTCCCTACTCTCCGACTGCGTACTGCTTGATCACGCACACGAAATCGGGGCGCTCGCGGATCGACATCGATCACCGATAGCGCTATTGGTCCCCGCGATCAGCATAGTGATAAGCGAATAAGGAGTAAGGCTATACTATCTCGTAAAGGCTCGGTGTTTTCGACAACGCAGAAACACGCACCAAAAGAAACGCATTCCGTAGTCAAGACCGCTCGAAAGTCAAAACGGCATATCACTCGGCGCGTGATCGAGAGTCTCTCGCAGAAACATATTAATGTCGTTTTGAACAGTCTTAATAAATCATTTATTAATGTCTGTAAAAGATAACATGTCTGTAAAAGACAACATGTCTTCCTCTTAGGTTTTATGTAAGTTGCATACAGGGAGAGATCTTATAAATAGATATCGACCAATGCCGACTCGATCCGTGATTGGCCGTGTTCATTCATAATAACTCTGCCATGTGTTGTGAAACTGCATGTAAGAATGAGAGAAACAAATATGAAAGTGAGAGAAGCGACACTGGTTTGCTGTCAAGATTCTCATTTGTGATGTCATAACTTACAAGGAAAGGGACCCAACTGTCCCCTTCCGATTTTAATGAGCTTTTAATATGTTATTTTCCAAACAAAAATGAGCGACGTATTTTTTTATAAGTGACCATACGCACTTTTAGGGGGTCAAACACCCTTTAGAAAAAAATTGGTTTTTCTCTTTTGAAGCAAATATCGCCGGAACTGTAAGATATAGAAAAAAAATTTTTCAGAATGAAAATTGAATGGCATTAAGAGCACTTTAGAACTATAACAAAAAATGTTTTTAGTTATTTATTTATAATAAAAATTATTTATATTTATAAAGAAAAAATTTTTTTTATTATATTTCTAAAGTACTCTTAATGCCATTTAATTTTCATTCTGAAAATTTTTTTTTATTTCTTACAGTTCCGGCGATATTCGTTTCGAAAGAGAAAAGTCAACTTTTCGAAGGAGTGCTTCACCCCTTAAAATTGCGTATGGGCACGTATAAAAAAATACGTTTCGCTCATTTTTGTTTAGAGAATAACATACTAAAAGCTCATTAAAATCGGAGAAGGATAATTGGGTCTCTTTCCTTGTTAGTTAAATAACTTAGTTATTATAGTGTTTTGAAAAGCTCTCGAGGTAAACTGCAAGAAAATGTAATTATAAATAGGGGAATAAATATATTCCATTTAAAAAAATCGACGTGACCTCGACTTGGCCTTGGCGACGCCACCCAAGGTCAAATCAATAATACCTTCTTATGTCCCTCTCCGAACGATACAACTTTTGTTCGAAACATTTTTCCTTATGTACCATGATTTTCGAGAAATTGTAATGCATTATTTAAAACGAGACATTCTGTGGCCTTGCGCGCGCGTGTGTGTGTGTGTGTGTGTGTGTGCGCGTGCGTGCGTGCGCGCGCGCGCGTGTAAAAATAATCTTTCTTACCTGAGTATCTTTAAACAATGTTATTTGTGCTTCAATTAGAGATGATCCTATAATTACAGCAGTATTTTTTCCTTTTAATTGCTTCGGATTGATTCCCGCATCGATGATTGCTTCGTAAGAATGTTCTAATAACAGTCTCGTTTCGGGTGTGAATGCTTGTGCTTGCTCAAAAGATATTCCAAAAAAATCCGCATCAAATTTTTCTATATTATTGACAGTTCCCATACGTTTTGGGAATTCTGCATGCTCCATAGCTAAATATATTCAAATATTCCATTTATGTTTTTATATAAAATTTCAATTTGAAGTATCTTTATTGATAAATAAATATGTAATTATATTTAATACAGAATAGGTGACATATTCTATCACAATCAGTCAGGTATAAATGTAAAAATACAATTTATAAACACATAAATATGAATTAATTACCTATTTTCCATCGGTTATGGTCTGCACTTACAAGATCAACTTTATTGAATAAATTTTCTCGTAATTGATCCATGTTATCTGAATGAGGAAATCTACCAGCAATACCAGAAATAACGATCGCCTCACCGGAATCAATATCGTTCCATGATTTATCTGCTTCTTTGTCATCCATTATTATATTTTTAAGTAATCTAAAAAAATGCTGTAAATATTTTATGCACAATTGAGTATAATAGGTTAATTTTTTCTTTTGATTAAGTTAAAGTTAAAGATATATAAAATTAATTTATTTCTCTATTGAAAATTGCATAAACAAAACACTAACTTATTTAAAGTTGCGTTAAGATTAAATTAACTGAAGTTGAAGTAAATACTAATTTTAAAAGCATGGCATCATTTACATTAAAATTAAATGTCATTTTTTGAAATTAAGTTACTCTGAACTAAAGTCTCTCTAGTAAGAGTCGAGACATAAGCGAGACATAATCCTCATCGGTGATTAGTGCCGCCATGTTTCAGTATGTTAATGTGTTAGTGAATGTAAGTGAATAGATGTGTGGCAGCAATTTTTATAGGTGTAGTACCACGTTTGTCAAGATGGTGACGCCAGGGCGGACGTTTTTTTGCTTCGGTCTGAGTTAATTATCTTGAAATAATTATCGCCAGTCTAATTTTGGCCGTATTGACTTCCTTCTTATTTTTCCGAGGGCAGGTGTCATTTATTAAAGAAGTATCAGAATTATTAGCCGTTTCCGATAAGACTGAAACATGGCGTATTTCCGGTCTTGTGTTTCGACTCTCAATAGAGGGACTCTACCCTGAGCAAGAAGCAATAGCAATAAGATTTATTAAATATAAATTTAATATTCTATTTATAAAATAAGTTTATAAAATACTGAAAGAATGTTATATAAGCAGGAAACGGAAGTAACTCGTTACTTGTAACGAAATTACAGTTAGGGGAAAGTGGGGGAACTGTGCGCAGCGGGTAATTGTGCGCATCCTGGTTTGGTACTTTTTCAATGGATGAAGACATCACTGTGGTGAAATTTTACGCAGGAGATCGTCTTCTTAAGATATAATTATAAAAGATACGACGCAAATACGTTGCTACCCAGAGAAATACAAAAAAGTGAAATCAAATTTTTTCTTGTTATTTTAACATTCAGAAAATAAGATGGTAAGTCCGTATTTTTAATTTGTTTGTTTAAAGTTGCATACGTTATTAAAGTATGTTATTATGTGTGTCTTTTAAGCTGTTATTTATTAAGTTTGGTTAAGAAATGTTGAAGGAATCCTATTTCATATCGAGATTATCGAGTCAGGTCGCGACGGGCAACTGTGCACAAGCATTTTGAAGTGCGCACAATTACCCATCTTCCATATACTATATGACTAGCACTAATTTTTTCGTTTTTTCTTTGCATTATTATTTTATTTTGCCATTTTATTTTGCCAAAATCTGTATGTAATATTATTATTATATTAGTTTTGTATTTTTGCTTAATATATGTAATATATATTTAAGATATATTTAATATATATTTATATTGCAATATAATAAATATATTTTCTGATTTCTTTATCAACATTCCATAATTCATTCATTTCCTACGACTTTTG